AGAGAGGTCCTTGTAGAATTCATTCTTCATTTCTGGTGAACTGCAATCTGTCGGTGCACACGCGGATACGACGAAGAAGCACCGATGTTTCGTTTTGTAGCTGTTGACTCGTACTAAACCATCCAGACGTACGGCGCAAAATCGACTGTTAACCGGGATCCAATCGAGAAATGACCGCTCGACCTTGACACTTAGCGCAATTCCAACACCAGCAACACCGCGAGCTTCGGATGACAAATCGCCTGACACAGGGAGAGTGAAGCGTGAGGATGAGGCTGGATTTGGCGAACGGAGGGAGATGACTGAAGTAGGATCTTGTATGCGTGCTTCGGAGACACAGCATAAGTCTAAATGGAGGATTTCAAGGGTTCTAGCTAAGGCAGCTAGTTGACTGATCTGGTAGTGTGCGGACATTGAGTGCGGCTAAGTGAAAAGGGGATTTTGGTTTCAAAAATCTGGTCGCCTCTGAGTGGTTGACCTTATTAGTTGAACGCTGAGTGATATCGTAAACAGGAGGCACCTGGGGATATTCGGGATTGAGAAGAAACACTAGACAGATGGGGAAGATGGTTTTCCAAATGGGTATCTGAGAATTTAGGGCACGGCATACCTCGCGGTTGCCCACACCGATGAAGGGGTTTTCCTTTGGAAACCCTAACTGGAGCCTTTGACTCAGAAGTCTGACCCACAAGGCAGTGGGGCGTAAATCCAACGTGGGAGCGTGAACGGATCACCCGTGTGGGACCTTCTAGAGACCTGTCGCACAAGGCCTCTGAATTTCGATTGATTGTGTTGTTCGCTGGTCCGTTGATTGTCGATCCGCTTTTCGGAATCGGCTCTCAGCCTCATGCACCCAATGAGACGAGCGGAACGTGGGCGGGGCAGCACCTTATTGGCTTGGGCGGGCGGTAACTGTCCAATGAAGTGCGAAGAATTCTCCCACCGTCGAGAGGAAGCCCCAGGTACCCCGCTCCTACGTCCGTCTACCGAGTTTTTTCACCGGTAAACTGCCCCTCATCGTGTTTACTTTTTGGAGTGGCCTCTCCAGGAGCGTGTGGATAGGAGAAAGAAGCCAGGATGTGCCCAGGCAGCTGGCTTTGTGAGACTGAGCTTTGTCTGGCCTCTACCCATTTACCTTTCAGGCATGATTGTATCTACGGCTGTGAAAAGCCATCCTATGTTGTTCGCAGAGTCATGGAGGTACGCAAGCCATTACACCACGTTGAGGTACAGTTTCGTCGTGCTGGTATTAATATATATTAATATAATATTAACAAAGCAAGTGTTTTAGTTGTTGACCCCGTCTAGCTTGTTTCCCCTTCATATTTTTATGTATGTTTTTGTATTCGCTTGTGTTTTCAGACGTTCTGGTAATTGTCTGGCCACATTGAACTGGAAAGTCGAACCACAGAGCAGCAGTGCCGACCAAACCACGGACGAAACGACATCTGTGGCAAACAAATCCCTTCCTTCCAAGGCATCCGCATTTGTTTTGGCTCCTGGTGATCGACACGTGATAATCGGCTTTGAGGTTCGTGCTAACAGCTCAGTCGCTATCCTCGTGTTGTGTTGTTTATCATCATTGTTGTGTGCAATACGACCGAACGGTGAGGAATCAGTATCGGAACCCTTTCAACTGAACCATGAGGATGAGAAACGGCAGTTTGTAAATTCGTTAATCATGAGTGATATGTTTGTACCGTAAACCATTGCTCTCGTATGTCTGCCCGATTTCTCAGTACGTCTGAAGCTCTATTTTCACCCTGGTAATACTGCCAGTTTCCTAGTTCTTCCCTCTGCTTTTTCATTTAAATGGATTGCCAAAAACAACAATCGAAACCGCTACACGAAAGTGTAACATTAATGGTTATATAAGCTAAACTAAAACGTGAACCATGACCATTTTGCCTCATTCGAGGACATCGATATCCTAATACCACAGAATGCAACAGTGAAGGTTGCGAGGACATAGATTAGATGCACAAGCGCCACTGTTCACAACACTCAACTATATCACTCAGTGTTTCTAATGATATATGTATATATATTATATTTCTAATCATCGGCTTCGCTGATCCCAAGGTGCACATCCAGGAACCTTTACTCAACTCAGCATATCGCGTGAGGGTACAGTCCAGTTCTGAAGGGCTCACTACCCAAAATCGCCTCTCTTTCTTTTGCGTGTGTTCGTATTCAGTCCGGTTCTTCCCCGTCGACCAGCGATAAAATGTCAATAAGCATATTACTTTTGTACACTTCCTTTCGATCTCTTCGTTCTCGTTTACCCGTCTATCACTCATGTCTGAACATTTCTTTGCTCCACTTGATATTGCTGGTCGACCGGCACCAGGTACACGGTAACATACACCTGAGGTGACGCAAGTTAAAGTGAGCATCGTTCAAGAAATTCGGGTCCTCCAGTTGCATCTTGTTTGGGAATTGTGAGCACTGTTCTAAGCGGTTAGATAGACTAGTCCGAGTTGTCTAATAAAACAGGGTTCTCGTTTTTTGACCAATAGTGTAAGGTATTGCAGTGCATTCGGATTTCCCATGTACTTGTCTGATTTGCACAATCTTTACATGTTGATGTAGGATAACCTGATGGTATTTTTTTATCACACACCTTAGTGTGATAAACAGCAGATGTCGTAAACCCCATAATCACGAGGACCTGCTGTTTAGTGATTGAAGCCGGTAACCTAAGTCCCAGGAGAGGCGAACCACATAAGGCTCCGTTAGGTTAGGCGTGGTATTGAACTGAACGACAGCAAAGCTGCCTAACCAATTAGATATCATAAAATTTGATGTGATAAGCGGTTTTATCCGCACGTGTTACGCATAACTGCACATCTGTTGTAATGTTGTTCTTAGCCTAAAAATTGGTCATGTCGATGACGTCAAAGTCACCTAAGATGTGATAGAGATTTCGTTTAGAATCGAAGAATCAAGCGTGCCATCCAATGTAAATAAAGATATTCGTCTGCTGAATATCAGTTTACACTTGCTGTGTTGGACCTGTTAATCATAAACAATGAGGAGAGTACTGCGGTTGGTTTTACGCACAGATGTATTGTTGCGCCATGTTATTGGCTGCTCGGTGATTGTGCATCGCATAGTGGTAATAAATCACAACTGGATTTCTCCCAACCCTTTTATGTATTGTGTAATGGACCACTTTTGCCAGTTTACCTGTTAACAAGAAAAGACAACGTATGAATCATCGAACAATAGGAGTGTTTTGGTGCTTGGAGCGCTCAACTGTGAATGGGTTGATTCACGCATTTCTCAGAAGTACTGGAGGATTTTTTATTTTGGCTCTAGCAGCGGTGAAAGAAAAATATCGCTCCATTGGGATGATATTAGGTTTTTACTCTCATGTATGTCACAGTTAATTCCAACAGGTTTCGCGGGTTAGCTGTATTTCGCAAAATAGTTCACAAAGCGTCATAATAAACCTAAAGTTATTCTTCTCTGGGAGGCTATTATTCGTTTGTTCTGGTTTAACTATCCTTCAATGAGAAGGAAATTGAATAGGGTGCTCATAAATTCACCTGCGTTTACCCTGTAAAGAATTAACTGCATACTCAGGTTCGTGTTTCTAATGTTCCTTTAGTTTAATTTTCTCTTCTGGTCTATTCGAATCTTGTCACCCTCCTTACTCGTTACCACTCCTTTCTCATTGCTACTGGGTGTACGTGACTCCAGTGCTCGGTGTTTCGTTTGCTGGTTCCCAGGATCAAATCATAGAATAATGTGATTGCGGGATTCACCTCAGCTACTGTCCACCTCGTGAATTTATGTAAAAGTGATGAAATCTTTCGTACAAAAGCTGAAAAGCTTTTTTCATATGAAGTGATACCCACCAGGTTCAATACAGATTTGTATGGTTTTCATAGTCTTGTTCTATCATCCTTTTCAGTCCGGCCACTTGGTCCTGTTCGACGTAAGTTCGAAAACCATTCGACAATCCATCAACAATGCGCACGAAGGAGCTGTTCGGGGTTTGGCGTTAACCGGTGACAAGGTAAGCTGAAGTGTACTCGATCATTGATGTACTGCAACTGCAATAATGCAATAGTTACTTTGAACTACTCGGATCATGCGTTTATTATGAACTGGTTACTCAAAATATATATCAATCGACTGAAGTGGCAGTCATTATCACTCATGCTAGCTGTTATGCGATTAGTTATATTTGTGCCATTTAGAGTACTCTAACAGCATCGTTTCTGTTCAAATTTGTGGAGGACATAAATCGCACCTGAAAGCCTAACAAGTTCTGGTAATTCATTATGTATGCATTTCGCACCTTCAAAGTGCAAAAAAGTGCTTCAAAGTTGGGTCTGGTCTACCATGAATCTTATGCTTAATCGTCAGAGCATAGTAATAGCGGACTGCTTCTTCTATTTTTACGTAGTAGCAGACCACTTGGTAGCTGATCAAAGTGTTTCACTTTTAATAACCCATCCTTGAAAGCTGTCACGAGATGCTATCCTCATCTAAAATAGTTACATTTTTCAGAGATTATTACTCTATCTGAAACATTCTGTGATCGAATAATTTGTGTTGGGGTGTAATGTAGCATATAATGGTAGAATATTTTTTAATTCGTCGAATAGAGAGTAAGTTCGATGTGAACCGAAAAGCTGGCAAACATAATATTTTTTTTAACCTTGTCTGCTTCCCCGACTAACAAAATGTACATTATGGAGCACATGATTTGCCTTCTTGTTCTGGTCACTGTGAAGCTCACCTTCAAGTTTCAATATTTCTGGGACAAAGCACCAGTGTCTGACTTTTAAGCATAACCAATGTCTAAATGACTGCAAATCCCTAAACTGAATGCGGGCTTTCCATTTTTCTCCAATTTCCACCCTTCAGAAAGGATTCGTATCTGGTGGTTCGGATAAGCAGGTTGCGTTTTACAATTTCGACCTAAGCGTTCCGGAGTTTGGGTAAGTATAGCACTTATGCTTCATCGCTTCACTTGGTCGATATCTTTTGCTGTATTGCATATTTGTTTTCATATGATGAAGAACGAGTGAAAGTGGGATCTTTCGTGGTTCATTGTGAGGTGGAAATACATAACACGATGGGAGGTCGTTGTGTAAGGCAGTCAGTCTTTTCAGTTGATTTTGAAGAAAACCCACTGACACCCAACTAACACGCAAGTTACTACCTCAATACTACTGTAATTTGGGTACTTATTCGTGGATGGTAAAAGGTTTCATTCCCACTCTGAAACCTTTTACCATTCGTGAATTAGTACCCAATGTGCAGCAGTATTGAGGTAGTAACTTGCATGTTAGTTGAGTGCCAGGATTGCGGCTGGTCATCCTGCCCTTGCATCTCGCGAAATGCTCCCATACGACCAAGAGTCTCAAATAGCCTCTGCTGAGGAAGCACTACTCACTGCCTTCTCGTGGCGGAAGTTTTTTCCCCACCAAGGTGAGCGGACGCAAAGTCGACATACGGGGCTATAACCGGGTTGGTGAAACATTGGTAGTTCACCTAGGAGAGTTGGCCGAAAACCCTGATTCCACACCAACCATGAGGAGGCGTACGAACCATACCCACATCTTTTCAGTTTTGGCAGTGGTCACCGGCTCGATTGGCATCGAGGTGTATTGGGCACCTTGGACGTTTAACCCCGTCCTAAGAGCGTATGGTCCGATGAACTGGACACTGGCTCCCAATGGATTGCGGTTTTCGCACACCACCCTGCTGCCTTGCAAGTCAGGCTTTGGTTAGCCGAAGGCTCCGGTTGTGAATTCCTCAAGAAAATTCACCTGCATTAGTCCGAGGAACCTTGCAGTATTCAGCCCACAGGTCAATCATGGAACGTTTTCTCTTTTTTATAAAGATTACTGTACCATGATTGCCTGGCACAGTTTTTCCTCAGACAAGTGTGAAATATAATATTATAATACCAGTCCCTCCCGGCTTCTTTAAAATGGGAACATTAAGAACTTCAAACAGATTATGAAGTTTACTCAGTTATATTTCTCACTCTTGTGGAATAAAAGCCGGCATTGTCCGAGTTTAGTCCGTAGTTACATCCCAATGATAAGTGCAGTCACGTTATTTAGAGCAATGGAGTTCACGGTAATTCTCGGCAACCTCGGAGCTTTGAACGGTGACGTTAATGTGCTATAGTATTAGCGATGCCCGCAAATTAGCATTCGGAATCGCATTTTAAATCGACCTTTGGGATTACTGAGATTTAGGTGAGAGAAGAAGATCAAGAACGTAGCGATTAGTCTATTGGGTGAAATCGAATAAGTAAAATAATATTCAGGGAAATATCATTAGTCCAGTATGTGTGGTCCAATCAGCGTCCTTGTTTGGTTAACCATGATGTTCCTTAACGCGTCACAGCTGATTTGATTGCCACAAATAGGTTTCCTTGTATTGGCCGTCATGAAACTCTAACACGTCACTTTCTAACGAGCACAATCTTTCAGCATTCTGTACTGACATAGACTTAATTCCGCCATTATACGTTGCTAAGCCTCCGAATAGCATATTCTGAAATCTCTTCAAGATTAATCCGTATCTCTCTGTAGCTGGATCTATGTGTAACACTATCATGTTCCTAAACCAGAAGCAAGATAAAAGCGTCCAGTGTGGATCAGTGTCTTATAACTGCCCCTTAGGGACTTGAGCTTTGAAGTGCCATACAATTGGTTTCATGCTTCATCGATCATGAAACATCTCCGTAATAATGTGCTTTACATAATCTTGTCGCATATACACATCTAAGTCAGTCTTTCGTTTACGATCATGTGAAACTGTTATTTTTGACCTTGAATTGATTCAAATGTTTATTATTTATCTCCAGACCACCTACTCTCTGTCTGAACGAATCGCGTTCGAAGGAGACTGCGGCGGATCAGATCACTTGTCTGTCAGTTTCTCCCAATAATCGGCTGCTTGTGCTCGGTCTGGTCAATTTTCATGTTGACGTCTATTTTGCCGATTCCTTCAAGGTATCTGACATGCTCCTACTGACTTCGTCTCTTAAATTTACTAATTATTGTCCAAATGCGAAATTTTCAGTTTTAATTTGTATCCACTTTTCTACGGTGTTCATTGTAAATGATGATGCTTACAGTTAAATAAATGTGAATTTGTAGTTGTCAACATCTGACACAAACTGCCGTCGCTTGGTCAAACCATGATGATTCAGGGATTTGGGAGGATTTCCTGTTCAACACCTTCCACTTAATGAACTACCCACCTTGTTGAGGCTCTAACCATGCGCTCATGCTGATACCACATTGGGCTTCCTCGTTAGGTCCTATTTATTCTGTTCAAATTTGAGCCGGTATTGCTTGAGGGAAGAGTGACGAATGTTATCGGATCTGCGAATGACATTGCTCATTGTGCTTAATAACACACGAGTCACCGATACAACCGTAGTGATCGCACATGCTATGCTTACTTTGTGAGCGTTTCAATAGACTTAAGATGAACAGTTGTCACTCATGCGTTCGGTTTGACAACTCCCGGCCTGAACTGAATGACGTCGTTGACTCAGTCGACCGCTCTATACTCTGGCTCGGCCTCTACCTGAAGGGTGTGCCCAGGAAGTTTATTTCAATTTTGCAATCAAATCATAAACAAGGTTGAGTTCGAACTTGCAACAGTTTTTCGCCTGAGTTCATCGTGAGAAGCGGTGTTAGACTTATATAACTAAAAGTAAGTGTTGTATGAATGACTCGACAAAACTTCCTTGGAAGCACAAGATCGGTTTCACGGTTCTTGCCACTTGTAATGCATGCGTACCCGGTAATCTTTTGTCAGTTCATCGATATGCTTGTACCCAGGAGGCGCATTTTCGTCATACTGTCCCCCAATACTCACCCGAGGCTGTAACTGTATCTGGTTGTCTCAACCATTTCCCATTATCCATTTCTGATTTATACTGCTGATTTTGGCTCAACATTCCCAGTTCTTTTGATTTTAATAAGGTAGGCATGAGTGGAGCGTTAAAAGTCGACTTGGTGATTATTTTACTTGTCTTATATGAAGGAAAAGAGAATCACCAAATTAAACGTGGAAAATATTCGATGAGAGGACATGGGTTTGATTATGATTAATAGAATCCTAAAAGCTGTGTTTTCTCACTAAATGGTTTAATGGCTATAAATGGTTATAATTGGCCGATGAAAAGTGTGGTGATTGATGTGTGTTCGATCTACAAACTGTGCGACGTGCTCAAGTTTGAGAATAGACTGCCAATTTGTGGATGTTGGTGTTAGGCGATAAACATTTTAAACCTTTGAAATTACCTGCAACAGTAATTATGGGTTCTGATAGCTGGTATTGCATTTCAGGTTGAAATGTTCTTGTTGTGATGTTGTAGCAGCATCTACTATCATAACGCTCTTCGTGAAGTCATCAAGCTTTTTCCGTTTCCTTTTTGCTGCAGCGTGTCCATTCGCTATACGGGCATGCCGCTCCCGTAACCTGTTTGGATATTTCAGTCGATAGTCGCCTGATCCTTACAGGGAGTGGCGATAAAACGGTTCGTCTTTGGGAGTTACAATTCGGTAATTGCCAACGTCGATTTACCACTCACATGGAGCCGTAAGTATGTTAATTGCTTATTCGTTATTTTATTATTTATTTTAACACGTAAGTAATTACAGAATACTGGCAAATGTGCCACAACATATGAACAAAAAGAAATCTGAGGAATATGTGTGGGCCTGTTACTTCCCGGTTGCCCAGGCCAAGAAAGGGGATAACCTGGGGGTCCCCACCCAAAGCCAGACCTGCAAGACAACAGGGCGGGCTCAGAGTCCGCAGTCTTTTTGGGGCCGGTGTCCAGTTCATCGGATCATACGTCCTTTGGATGGGGTCAAACGTCCAAGGTGCCTAATCAACCTTGATACCCAATTGAGCCCGTGACCACTACTGTAACCAGGATGGTTTGCCTCGTTTTGGTTGATTTGGAATTCGGGTTTTCAGCCGACTCCCTTAGGTGAACTGCCAATGGTTCATCAACACGGTTATAGCCCCGTATGTTCCCTTTTCGTCCGTTCACTTTCGTGGGATAACACCGCCACGAGAAGGCAGTGAGTAGGGCTTCCTCAGCAGATTCTATTTGGGACGCTTGGTCGTATGGGAGCATTTCGTGAGGTGTAAGGGAATGGTGGCCTGTCACAATCTCAGACATCCACTCCGACCACACCGAGGCTTTCGGGGACGCTTGTTTATTATGTGAGTAATCGATCGTAGGTATTTTGAGGTATTGACTCAAGTTTTTTAGTTCAGTGCCTCCTGGGGACTAGGCATACCTGGTAGTTCACCACATGCACAGTGATGCTCTGAAATGGACTTTGACATACTATTCTCAAAAAAATATTATCATGGTCTGTGAAAATGTTGGAACCAAAATGAGACCACGCAAACCGCATCAAACAAAGTTACTGGCTATCTTGAGAAGAAGTGATGTGTCCCTCCAATGTTGAGCAAGGAGGCTGTCATTCTTGTCCTATAAAGATGGGTTTCGAGGTTTTGGAAACGGCCCATAGGTTTCAGATAACCTAGTTTGTCCGAAATCGTTTGTCTGAATCATGTGTGAATGAACAAGAACTTTGATTTTTCTGGACATTCATATGTTTTATAAGCACCTAGGTTTCCGGTTTTCACACCTATGACTTCCTTGATGGTATCCTCCTCCTTTATCTTCGGCGTTGGTACACGGACTTCAAATATTTATAGATTGTTAGTCTAATTAACTATGCCCGATCAGCAATGAGTGTTCGCAGAAGATGGGAAGAGTCGAAGTTTGCATTACATTAATAACTTTTGCGTTAAACAATTTGGCACCCCGATTATAGTTTCAGGATTTTATGTGGTCCGGTCTGCATGAGCTCCTCGTGACAGGGTTTTATTCCTATTGTACCTCATGTATGGCTTTTGGCTGTTAGCGTCAGGAACGAATACAAATTTTTGAACTCTGTGCGTTAACAAAGATACGCACAAACTGACGAATAACTGTTTCGGTTCCAACGCTGCGCTACTTCCCATAATCACACGAAACAGGTATTTGTGCCCCCGCTAAATTTATTGTGACATCTTGTATTCTGTCGTCGACAATTTAAACTTGTTTACATTTTCTATTCACTTTGTTTCCAGNCGTATCGAAATTGCGTGAGGTGACTACACTGAAAGTACGTGCATTTTATCTCTGTGTGTAGGTGCGTCCAATCGTCTTGCTATGTGTTACAGTGTTGCTAATCCACTACTGGTGTCATAATTTTCGGAAGGCGGTCCCTAGTCGAGGATAGTTGTTTGTTATGAATAACGGTCAGGTTATCGGTAAAATGACATACATAACTAAATATCTCATTTGGAACAACTCTTCCGAATTCCCATACACACACAGGATAGTTGATGGAACGGTCCACTGTTAGATGCGCATTCTTGTATTCCCATAGTGAACAGCAGAAATTTGCTCCTACAGGTCTTGTTCATTTTTGACCGTTGAAAAAACCGCCAATCGCATCTTTTTACGGACTAATCACAAGTGAGAAGTATATCACAACTCTGGCAATATGCATACTACTTGAATTCTTAGCTTTTTGGATGTTAGCCATTAATAATAATGTCAATCTCGTTCGATAAACAGTTCAATGATTGAGCATTTTGATCAAGTGTTCCGTAAAAGTCATTTATTGCTTAATGTTCTTTGGTGGATTTCGTTATTGTAGAAAATAATTTTTACTCTGTTTATACACACCCTAATGTTTTTAAAACCGGTTGTCATTACAGTTTCGCTCGCTAGATGCTTTCAAGTTTTCCACGGATCTCTTACTCAGTTACTCATTCGGTGACAGCTATATCCGGTTAGCCTGATTTTATTTGATCTCATTTGGTTTCCTGTTCGATCTTTTAGGGTCATGATGGTTCAATCACGGGTATCTCTGCCGTCGCGACGAATGCTGCGTTTCTGGCACGTTCGTCTGCGCACCAAACAGCCAACAATGCCACAAAGCGTGGAAAGAAAGGCAAATCCCAAGCTATGGAGCTGGACGAAGACGATCTTGATGATGAGTTTGAAGATTTGTGTGGCGGTGTTATTGCATCTTGTGGTCGAGATTTCAGTGTGCGCATTTGGACTGAATCCGAAGAGTTATTGATTCTGGAGGAGCAGGAGCAGTTGGCTCGTGAGGCTGCCGAAGACGAGGAACTAGTGCGTTCCGAGGCCGTCATTCCCGGTGCTGTCCCAACAGAAGCTAGTGAAACTGGGCTTCTGGGTCGTCCAACTCCGAATACACGAGATGCGGTATGTGCTACGTAGCCCTTTATGTGTATATGCAAATAATCTAGGATAATGACTATTACTTAAACCTAACCGATCTTTCTTGCCGACGAAAATTTGATTAACCGATTAGTTCTGCTATATTGTGCTAAGACAATTAATTTCGTGAGATAAAAGTTGCTCCAACATCGTTTTTTTGAGCGCATCGTTGCACCGGTTTGACGGGACAACCGAATCAGCTACTCCTGGGCTATCTGTAGGATTTGGGTTAATCTGGGTTGTGCACTTAGACACGGGTGATTTCTACGGTCCTGTGTTAGGTATCTGAGCAAAATTTCATTTTACGATGTTGATGAATGAAAGTGGGATTTGGAGAAAGGTCAGATGAAATTATGAATTAAAGTGAATTTAA